AGTTTGGGCTCCTTTAAATTGCTCTTAACTGGCTAACTATATCGAACACTGCATCTGGATTAAGTCCAGAACTAGGCAGGAGAATTAATCAGAGCATTCAACAGATGTTTACACTCATAGCAGCTTCTTGTTTTTCCAGAGGAAATAATCCATGCTTAGAAACTGATCCTTGCTGGATCAGTTTCACTGTGTGTGTGTGTGTGTGTGTGTGTGTGCGCGCACACACACACACACACAGATGCACTGCTGCTTGCTTCACTAACCAACTTTGTCTACTCCCCCCAAAGTCACCCTTCCCATTACTCACTGCCAAAGTCACCCCTTCTCCTTTGCCAAAGTCACCCCTTCTTCTTTGCCAAATCCACTCACTTCCCACAATCCTAGCAAAAGCCACCTTTTACCCTCCACTAGCTCCTCTCCAATGTTATCCCCTCACTGTATACTTCACATTTGGGGATATAACATTTATATCCCACCATTCCTCCAAAGTTTATCCTTACAACAACCCTATGACATAGGTTGGGCTGAGAGACTGTGACTGGCCTAAGCTCTAAGTTTCATGACTGAGTGGGGATTTGAACCTTGAACTCCCTCTAACCACTTCACCACACACACCAATTAAAACAATTTTTAAAATCTATTTCTCTTATATTACTCACATTCAGGGAATAAATTTTTCATTGGCCTTTTGGACTGATAAAAGAAAGTGGTGAATACTATAAAAATACCAAAAATACTCAAGAATGATTCATTACATAAATTAAGTTACAGTACCTGCTCATGTCATCTAGATGCTCAGCAGCAAAGTAAAAGCTTTTGATCTTAGGATGGCAAGCTTTGAATGCACTGGAAGGAGGGGAAGTAACAAAGTACCATGGGTGAAATATTAAGTATACAACATTATTTTTCAGTATTAAAAGGCTGGCCCAAAAGTAGGTATACTGCTTTAGAATCCACTTTCTTTGTCCTTGACTCAAGTTCTCATCATTCATCAGTATCAGTAAAGAAAAATAATCCTTGATTGATTGATTGACTGTATACCTACTTTTTGGCCACACTGTATATCATCTATATTTTGTATATGTTTCAATTCTACTCTGAAATCAAGAACATTTGCACTTTATACACATTTTGGGATATACTTGTGTGAAAAGATACAGTAAGCATGTAATCCTATGTATGTCTATGTGGAGGTAAGCTCCACTGAGTTGTATTTAATCCTATGTAAGTGTGGACAGGATTACACCCTAATTAAATCTATCTGAACATGGTGTCAAGTTAAACACTATCTTGACTGAGTATACTTTTGATAAATATGAAGCAGTTTATTTACTGGGGCACTTGTATTTAGTAGGCAAATATATCATAAAAGTTTCTGGATATAATATCATTTAGCCAAATTATACTTCATAGGAAGTCCCTATGATTTTTCATACTACAGTGTTTCTGGCTTTACTTTCAACTTTAAAACTCAATAGTTGAACAGAAAAAGCAAATGTGTCTTAATTTCTGACAAGCTGTTGAACTTGTAATCATGAAGTTATTCACAGTAATGAGGTATTTCATAGGTCATTTCCCTCTCAACCAACTATAAAAAGGATTACTGTCAACATTTGAAACATCAGATCTACATTCTAGACCGCAGGGTATTACACTGGCACAATCCACTATTAATCTAAACAGGCACTGAACTGCACATAAAGGCTGGCATCCATACCAAGTTACAGCTTTGTGAAAGATTTGGCTGGATGCCCAAATGACATTCTTGTGTATTCTACTATTAATTATCTTATATATATTTTTCCAAATTGAAGTCAACATTAGTTTAGAAAAAGTGAATTTTGCTTTATCACATATTAAGAATTAAAATGTATTATGATAATATAATCAGTTAAAAGTAAAGGTGAACTATCCAAGCCTCAAAAACAGTAACCAAGAACATCAACAACAAAAATTTATGCCCTATGTATTGCTGGGTGACCAGGCATAGCCCACAGCCAATGCCCAGTCAGCTAGCAATGCACAGTGGTACCTCTGGTTAAGAACTTAATTCGTTCTGGAGGTCTGTTCTTAACCTGAAACCATTCTTAACCTGAGGTACCACTTTAGCTAATGGGGCCTCCCACTGCCGCTGCACCACAACTGCGCGATTTCTGTTCTCATCCTGAGGTAAAGTTCTTAACCTGAGGTACTACTTCCGGGTTAGCGGAGTCTGTAACCTGAAGCGTTTGTAACCCGAAGCATTTGTAACCCGAGGTACCACTGTACTGCCCATCTGGCAGGGCCTCCTATTGGCCGATTCAAAGCTAGCATTTTGGCAAGGAATCCCTGCTCCTTTATTCTGCTGGCTGGCGAATTCCCCTAAGGGCTGCCAAGACACACTGGGCCCTAGCTGCTGGGGATGGTGGATGGAAGTGAGGTCTGCAACCATAGTCTACCTGAGAAGGGGGTGAGTAGCCATTCCTAAACACCTATTCCTAAATACCAGGAATGAACTTGGTGAGTATCTAAAGTAGCAAATGATAATATATATTAATTAGTAGTAGCAGTAGTGATTGAAGTTCCACAAAGATAAATACTACCAGACAAAGGCATCAATAATGGAACATTTTATCAAAATTATGTTTGTTTCAACGTTTACAGTTTTATCTATTTTTGAATATTGTTCTAGTACTTACTACTTCTTGCGACATTCACTAGCTCTATCAATTTTAAATTCTGGCAGACTGATGAATCCTTCTGCTTTTTCATCCTATGAAGATGAACAGATTAAAGAACAAGAGCAAAACCAGAAGCCAATCAAAAAGAAAACAAATACAAGCATACTGAACTATGTCTTGTCACAATATAACAATTTCTGATTTATTGCTTCATTAAAACTTCCACAAAAATTAATGGAAGCATCTTGCCAGAAAGGTGAAAACATCACTTTAAAAGGAATTATTTTAAAGAACAACTTAAACCATGTCTTCAACCATTTCTCTTTTGGGGCGATTCACATAACTTGGACAGTAGAAGCAAACAAAATTAACTTAAACATGCAATTTTTAAGGTAGAACATAGTATTAGAAGCACAATGCAATCTGGATCCACTAGAAGTCTGCAGCTGAAAGAACTGGCTGGTTAGTTTAAAACAATGGTCTGGTTCATACAAAATGCTAAGCCAAACTATGGCCTAGCAAGAATGAACAAATGTGAGTACACAGAGTAAAAATTGTTACATTTGAATTGGGCCAAAAATGTGGAAATTTAGTTGCCTACTCTTGTTAATGTCATCTTGCTGTCTCTTCCTCACTGTTTCCTTGGGGTTGCAAAAGCAGAACTTTGCAGTAACAGCCAAAGCAACAATTGCCAGAATTCTATTGCTAGCATCTACACTTCAGATCTAGCATTTCTGTATCCCCTTTATTCTATTCCTTGCCTTTTCCCAGCCCTTTTGCCAATACTGCTCAGTCACATGTGCTTGCCAGTTCTATGTATACTTTTGCCCTGATCCTAATTTTCCTCCTTTTTTCAACTACGTATCTCCATGACCCAGAGTTTCCTCAGGACCTTAGGTCACTGCCAACTTTGTCTTACTTCAGTTAGTCATCCTGTATCTTAATCAACATCCTAACACTCTCCCCTCCTTCTCACTTCTCATCTTAACTGCTAAGAGCTCTTCAGAGCTCTCATTAATTCCTTCTTGTCTCAATTTTCTACCTCCTTAGCTCTTTTACTGAAGCCTCACTTTTCACCTACATTTCTATCAGATTCTTCTTTCTCAGTCAACTGCCTTGTTTACATCTTTTCTGCATCCTCCAGGAATCATTATATTGCCTGTTTCTTTTGACATCTTCCTCCATCCTAAGTTTTTTCCCATGTGGAGTTCTAATTCCAATCAAACTAACAATACTCAATTCCCTCACAAAAGAAATTATATGGCTTCTGAATCAGGGCCATAGCACCTGCTGATATAATTTTTCTGCATGGTGAATGTTTAGTGTATCCAGGTTATCTTTGTTTTAATGAAGAAGAAGAAAACCTATGTTACTAATATTTAGCATGGCTCTTGGAATCACTAATTTAAAACATGGACAGGAGAGAGCTGTGCACAGTGTCAGAACTGCACTTTTTGTTTCCACTGCCGAAGGGAAAAGCCAATATTAAAGGTAGTTTGTCTCTCCAGTACAAACAGACAGTCAAAAACAAAACCCTACGCATGTAATGACCAAATCAAGTTTGGGCAGTTATATATGGTTCTTCACCACATGCATATATCATGTTTTTGGACTGTAGCCATATTGTTCAGTGCAGTCACATCCATCTGCAAGAAGAACACCAAACATGTCAGTTTCTTACCTCCTCATTGATATACCAGTAGAGAGAAGTATCCTTCAGGACAAACCAGTATTTCTTCCATTTTTGTGAGAAATAACTCTTGGCATCTTTCTTTTTCCAGAGCCAGCCTTCACAGTCTCCACGACCAAGATCTTTACAAGAAATTCGCCTTTTACTCTTACTTGGTGCGAGACCTTAGAAGAACAGTTGTTTCAGAGATGATTCATGTACCCATATAATACTTCTGTCCTGAGCTGGAATGCATTGTTGTTGTTTCTTTTGGGGTGGAACTTCTCTCCATCCATTCTAATAAGTAGCTATGACTAAAGCATAATCTACTACTTAGATCAGGCATAGGCAAACTTGGTCCTCCAGATGTTTTGGGACTACAACTCCCATCATCCCTAGCTAGCAGGACCAGTGGTCAGAGATGATGGGAATTATAGTTCCAAAACATCTGGAGGGCTGAGTTTGCCTATGCCTGACTTAGAAGGAAAACAGAGTTAAGGCCTAGTTAAGGTCATACAATTCTCATAGGAGATGCCCTGGCTTAAGGTCATAATGACCACTGGAGGAAATGGCGACATGCGCTGAGAAAATTATGGATGTTTCATAGAATCGTAGCATTTGGATGGGACCATGAGGGTTATCTAGCCCAACCCCTGCAATGCAGGAATATTTTGCCCAATGTGGGGCTTGAACCCAAGATTCTGAGATTAAAAGACTCATGCTCTACCAACTGAGCTATCCCAGCAGAACATAGCAGCATTAACTGTTACAAAATTGGAGTGTGTCTGTTTTAGAATTGTCACATTATATGCAGACAAAAATGTTTACACAGTATAAAATTATGTTTAATTTTTCACCAGACCTATAAGGTAAAAACTGTTTTACATAATAGTTACCTTTGTTCTTCTTTTTAGACTTATGCTGTAGAGAGGATTGTTGAAATGTCTAAGAAAAACACACACAACAGTTTAGTTAATGTGTGCCAATCGCACCACAATACTTCATGTACAACAACACAAACCTTAGACTAGAAGTTCTCTTAAACTGTGTCCTGTAAGCTCTATTCAGATGGAATACGTTATGGAATGGCTGATAAGTGTACTTGGCCCTGCAGTTAATTTACTTTTCCCTAACAATTGAGATGGAGGTTGTTTTGACCAGGGTCAGATTTATCAAAACAGAATAATTAGCAAGTTTTGATTTTCCCAGTTAGTAATTGTGTGATTGATTTCTTTTTAAAGTACCATATTTTTCACTCTATAAGATGCACTTTTTCCCTCCTAAAAAGTAAGGGGAAATGTGTGTGCGTCTTATGGAGCGGATGCAGGCTGCACAGCAATCCCTCTTGCTGTTCTGGCTTCAGGGATAGCTGCGCAAAGCCTCTTCAACAACATTTGATTCAGAATATTTTTTTTCTTGTTTTCCTCCTCTAAAAACTAGGTGCATCTTATGGTCAGGTGCGTCTTATAGAGCAATAAATAAGGTAAATTTCAGGCATAGGGCACCTGATATAGACTGGGATGAATTACCTTGTTTTTTGTTGTTTGGACATTATTAACCCACTCAGACTGTCCTTGAAAACATCTGCTACACAAAACCCTATTCCCACCTCTGCTTTCCCTGAGTAGCTCAATGTCACCACCAAACAATGTTATCTGTGAAACCTACAGACACAGTTGAGCTCAGAAAGCATAACTGGCACAGAAAGTCAAGACCTTGGCTGATGGTTGTGATAGGCATTTTTCAGTATTTTTCCCTATGAATATAGCATACCTGTGGCTATGGGAAAAGAGCTCATAACAACTGAAAGGAACTGCAAAGGTATTGCATTTTTCAATGAAAGCAGTGGGGTGGGATGGGATGGACAGCCAAGGTATGCTGGAAATACCTTGGTATCTATCAGGACTTCAAGTTTCAAGAACTTAAAACACCTACTTAAAATCTGTTTTGCTGCATTTTTAACAGTTCTACAATTACTGGTTTTGTTCAATATGACAAATCATTACATCAAAAGCATGTTTACTGAATATAAGGATTGCATTGGCCCAATATTAAAGAAAGAGCTCTTTTGACCTTTCAGTGTTTGCTGCTCTAATAGATGCTTTCACTTCATGGACAGAGGAGCACCAATGCTCCATCAACAAGTTAACAAGGCATTTCTGGTCCAATTATGAAAAAGCATACAATTTCCCATGTGTACACTGCTACACACACACACACACACGGCAACTTCCAAGTCTAATCAATCCTCTTTGTTAATTCTTCAAAAGTATACAGTAGAAGATGACAATTATCTCTGTGAACTTTCCTCTTTAACTAAATGGAAAGTAATGGCAACTGTGAGATGATTCGGGTATGTCTGCCTAGCCATGTTAACTCAGAAGACTAGAGACTAATAGTTCAATAGGACAATTTCACGATAGCATTATCACCAGATTTCAACAGTTTCATGTTGATGGACTTTGAAGGTTCGAGTTGCTTATGCCTTGTCCCTTCAAGTCATTCATTCATTCATTCATTCATTTTCTATACTGCCCTTCACTTGAGGATCACAGGGCAGCTGACAATATAAAAACACATAACATAATAAAAGAAAGAAAAACCCAGGTTAAAAGGCTGTAATTAATCAAAGGTCTGGGAGAAGAAGAATGCTCTTGCCAACTGAGATGGATCTAGAAAATTAGATCCCTCCAAGACCATAATCTCAAGAACGTTGCCCAAGAAAGGGAAAGTACCCAAATGAGCACAGCTGAGTGAGACCAACTCCACCCTGCTCACTCACCCAGGCCTCAGTGACACAGACCAGTGATAAAGTGATACAGAGCGGCCTCATCATCCATAATCAACTCATTGGTGAGGGAGCTCAGAAGACTAGAGACTTCTAGTCAGCAACAGCAACAGCAAACAGCAGCTATTCAGCAACAGCAGCTGCAGACTCGAGGGCTGGCTGGTAGTACAACTGCAATTGTTCAGGTTGGAGGAGGGGCTGGCACATGGCACAGTCACTAATTGCCTGTGCTATGTGCCCCTGAACCACTATGATTGGGACCCTGATGCCCTCTCCAGCTCCTCCCCTCCCTCAGTAAAAACAACCCCCCCAAAAAACAAACCCCCACAAATTAAAAGCAGTTAAAATAATTAAAAACAGAACAATTATAGCAGCATGGGCCCTGTCTGCCAGAATTTAGACATAATATCAGTCCAATATATTGTTAATGAGGTGTGCTCCTGCATAGGTCCCCCTTGCCTTTCTTTATACTGATATTATATCTAAATTCTTCAGTGTCTAAATGGCTTCAGTGCTTCGATTCAGACTCTTGTTTGATTGATGTGTACAATTCAGGAAAATAAACAAGGATCACCTCCTATTTAATTTCATTACTTTTAAAGATCAAAATAGCAAAAATTGTTTGTATCAAATTTTTTATTTACAGGAAAATTTACAATAAATTAGACTATCAATAAAAAAAATCTTAAGTAGGTAATTTTTATTTATTTAAAGTAATAAATATGGTTGTGATAGGCATAAAATAATACAAATTATTTTATGAAGCAGCTGTTTCCTTGTTGCAAAACATTTAACTAAGCTCCAAGAAAGACAGCCATCACATCCAAAACAAAAAATGAAATCCATGTCTTAAATGGATGCAGTCAATTAAGATATGCCAAACCATTCATCTTGCTTTGCTTTGTGCATATAGGCAAACAGATGTCACAAAAAGAAAAAGCAATTTTTGTTCATATATCCTGGATCATCCTGGATGACTCTGATGACAGTCCATAGATTTGTTCTGTATTATTAAAATATATGACAATAAATTTATCATGTGAGAAAATTCCCCACAACTGTACATGAATCAATTCATTATGAAAATAAAATACAAGAATATCCACAGGCCCTAGGGATTCTGTTAATTCACATGTACCATGAATTGGGTTCCTATAATACTTTAAGTTATTTCAGTCACCCAGGCTTCAAGGGAAGCAATAAAATGAGTTTGCTGGAATAAAAGCAGGTCATTGGTTTTAAATTGGGCTCAGTGGAGAATCATCTGCTTTGACAACACTCAATGACAACAGAAACTGGGACACAGCCAGAAACACAAAGTCCCACAAAGACTGGATGTCTTTAAATCCATTTGCTAGTTCACTAAAAAAAAGGGTAAGAGAGCACTGGGGGTGGGGAAGTATTGGCTTTCCCCTCACTTTGCAGGATTTTAATGGTCTTTTAATAGTTCTTTTTTGAGTGGTTACCTAAATTCATTATTTGCAATTCAAAATAAAATTGGTGACTATATTTTCTAATCTTTCCACAGTAGTTATGAAAACAACAGGGATCATATGAATATGACTGGACGATTTACATTTTAATTCTATTTTTATCTACCGTAATTGAATTTGCAAAAAAAGAAGAAGGTGTATATAGCAATGACCTCCAGCTTCTTATCCTCATCATTCAATACAAATTACACTTAACTGCCAGGCTTCTTTGCTTCATTTCTTACCAAAAATTTAAAAAACAACCAATGGTCATGTGTCAGTCACTCAACAACAGCATCAACATAGAGTGAACTATTTTGTAATTTTACTCACGTGATATAAAGATGTTTCAGGCCCAGGTGTGCTCATGCTGTCTTGCCTTAATGAATCCATTTGTAAACTAGGTAGCAGAGAATAATGACTAGGACTGTTGCTTTTATCTCCCCTCTTTTTAGATTTTTTGCCTGTGTCCTTTTTGCTGTTTCTTTGAAACATGTAATCCTCTTGAGCTATTTTTTCATTGCTCATATACCGAAGTAATGAATTTTCTAGGTAGAAATTGGAAAGGTTATACTGAAAACCAGTTCTTAATTGTCCAGCTGTTCAGGACATATTTTGCTGAAATCAGGACAACCTGCCTTCAAACCTGCCTTTCACTGGACTGATGAAAGACACAATAATGCTGAAATTCTATGTTTAATACCATAAAATCCAGTAAATAATGGTGCACATATTGGTGTACGTATTGGTTTTATTATTTTATCACAATATTACACAATATTAGGGCTCAGTAGTTTAGAACATCTACAAAGGGCAACTGAGTACCCTATTCTGAAAGATATCTTCTGTTTAATACAAACACTTGTATTGCATCATTGGCTCGTGCTAACTCTCATTATCTATGGGTAAATCCACTTGCAGCTTTTGCTAGAACATAAAGTTAGCTATATGTTAGCTTAACTCTATAATCTCTTCCTGCTGTTATTTAGTTATTTATCCATAAAAATGCAGAATTTTACCACAAAACTGAAATCCACATATAACAAAAGGTTTATCTTACATTGCAATAAACACCTATAGCAATTTAGCACAACCTTGCATCTTACTTTGGAGTGCTAGTATTCCAGTGCACCACAAACTTCTATGCCTTCCACTAGAGTGGTACCTCGGGTTACATACGCTTCAGGTTACAGACTCCGCTAACCCAGAAATAGTACCTCGGGTTAAGAACTTTTCTTCAGGATGATAACAGAAATCGCGCGGCAGCGGTGCGGCAGCAGCAGAGGCCCCATTAGCTAAAGTGGTGCTTCAGGTTAAGAACGGTTTCAGGTTAAGAACGGACCTCCGGAACGAATTAAGCACATAACCAGAGATACCACTGTATTACATGTCTCCAATACTGCTACTCGTTTTAATACAGACTTTTCAGACCAAACTTTCCTATAATATTTTTCTATAGAATAGACTACGGGAATCTGACTGTAAT